AATAAAATATGTTCATAAATGGAATAAATGATAATGTTAATTAATAAACAATGAAATATGAGAAAATGTAAAGAATTAATATAGTTTAAAAGCAATAATTTAAGAAGAATTATTTAATTATTGATTACACATTTGTTTGTTTATAATTCTTCTCCATAAAATACAGAAACTTTTCCATTAATTTCTTGTTTTTTGTTAATGACATTTGCTATTTCATCACAAAAAATAAGCTTTCTTTGTTCAATAAATAATGCATCATGTTCACCTCCAAATAATGAAAATTCTCCTTCAATTTCATTTCTATTCCCTTGCTCATCAAATAAAATGATATAGTCAATATTCTTTACAATAACATATTCTTTACCATTTATTCTAAAACAAGCCATTCCACATTCTTTTGTTGTTAATAATGAGTTTTCTCCAATATTCCTAAATATAAATTCAAAATCGTCGATATTCTTTTCAATAAGATTTTTTACTAATTCATTCAATTCAAATTCATTAAAATTATTATAATCAAATACACTGTAATCAAGAACACCATCATTAATTGATTTTTGGATGATTATTTCATTGTTTGTATCTATTATATTAAATGCTTTCTTTTTTCTGTCAATTGTAATGAATTGTCCATTGATGTCACGTTCAATAACACAAATAATGTCAATAATAAACTCTTCATCAAATGAATATTCTCTTAGTGATGTAACTTTAATTACTTCATATTGTTCAGGTGATATTTTTCCATTCTTATTAACAACATTTTCTATCATTGCAAATATAATTTCATCTCTCTTTTCTGAAAATTCTGTATTTTCAATTAGTTCATCTAAATTAATTCTAGTGTTATTAATGAAGTTGTCAATAATACTCTCATGTGATACACTGAGATGTTCATTTAATATCATATTGAAATTATCATTCATTTTGATTTGTTGTTTAATTTCACGTAAAAAATCATCAACTTTTATTTGTGGAAATCGCTTGCTTATCAATTTCCCTCTAAGAATAATTTCTAATTCTTTTGGCTCACTATTCAATAGAATTTGTGTGAATTTCGTTTTACCTGATTGTGATGAAATATCAATATTTATCCAATGTAAAATGTCTGGTAATGGAATTCTGAAATATGATAGGTGTGTGATGATTGATGGTAATTGAAATACACTATGCTCATTACATTTTTGATATGAAAGAAATTTAGTTAAAGTAGGAATATAAGGAATAAGTTCAGGATTAACATCAACATCAATATACAATTCATTGTTAATAGTGTTTGTTCGTAAAATAACAAATTTATTATTTAATTGATATAATTCATATTTTTGTATATCAACTTTAATTTGGTTGATTCTCTGAATGAATGAAATGTTAATTGTTTTATAATTTTGATCAATTGAATGAGTGAAATGAGCTGATTGTCTTATGTTATTGGTGTTTCTAACACTCATATCTAATAAATTTCATTCTTTTCAAGTTATATTTTTGTTTTTTGTTTTTTGTTTTTTTAATGTTTTTAATTGAATTGTTAGTTCATTATAACGGAATGAATAACATAATCATTCAACAAGAAATTGATGTTCCAATCACCAACTTCCTCGTTCAAAGTGATGGACAAGGTGGTGTTTATTTTCATGATAAAGAAACACATGAAGTGTATCAATATAATCCAAAATCACAAAGAGTTATTAATGTTGAACACCAATTTGTTGGAGCAATATTGTTCACACTATCAACAAATAAACAAGCATTTATTACAAAAAAACAAACAAGAAATATTCTGGTTAAATCAAATGAAAGTAAAACACCATCATTAATAAAAGTAAATGATGATTCCCAAATACTTTATTTTGTCAATGATAAAAAACTGATGATAGTAGGATTAAAAAGTACAATATTAATGTCATTAAATACGTTTATTCCTTTATATACTTACAAGTATTTAAGACCATGGAAAATAGTACATTACAAAAATATTGTTGTGACATTATATAATGACTTAAATAAAATTCGAGGAATTGTATTAGAGTGTATAGGAGATACAATATCAGTAATATCAGAGATTGATGTTAGTAGTCCATCTCAACAAAAAGTATTACTTCCAACAACTCAATTAATAGTTATCATGGAAACACCTTATTTAGCCATTCATTTCAATGTTGGACCAATCTATTTATTCAATTTAAATAATCCACAAGAACATGTTAATAGATATGAATCACTAAATGGAAAAATAATTATAATGTCAATTGATGATACGTTAGTTGTATTTGATGGTAAGAAAGCATTTATTCACAACATTATCACTTCTAATACTATAACTCATTTGGCATTGAAACAAGAACCAATTGAAAAAGTTAAAAGAAAAGAACAAGACAAAGAATTACTATTCACAATATCTAATTTACCACCAAAATGTCCAATTCATGTAATTGATTATCAAATCAATATTCATTCAACATTATTAAGTTATAACTCTCTTCTTATTGATCAGTTTAATTCAAAATGTACAACATTTCACTTTAATTATCAAACGTTAAATCAACAAATACAATTATTTCCAGATGAATGTTCTCGTTTATTATTCTTTGTTGAACATCATGCGTTTGATGTTTGTAAAATACTTCTTGAGGAATATGGAAAAAAGAAAATATCGTTATGGGTTGTTTGTGAATTACTCAGAATTGTTGTCTCCTCCAATTTACAAGAATTTGATCTTCAAATAGCTGTTCAGTCATTAATAAAAAGTGTTGATGATTCAAATTATATCGTTGACGTTTATCTTGAGGCAGTTAGAGCATCAGCACAGACAAATGAAGGAGTAATATCAGATAGTCTACAAGCAGATTTTATTCAGAAATTAAATGGATTAAATAAATTCAATACAATCACAGAATTTATTCAACATTATATTATTAATGACAGTACTCCAGTTGCTTTAATGTTATGCAAATCATCAGATGAAACAGTAGAAAAATATGGATTTGATATGTTAAAAAGAATAGGTGATTACAAAACATTGATTGATTGTTTAATTTGTAAGGGAAGAGTAGTAGAAGCAGTTCGTTTTGCAGAACATAAAAAACTTCAGTTGGATAAAACTATGATATGGGAGGCATTAGCAAAAAATAAAAATGAGCCAATCCAATACCAATTACAATGGTTCTTTCTAGACCATCAATAATAAATGTTTATCATATTAATTTATTATTTTACAATATCGTATTATATTTTATTTAATTTTAACATGAAAAAAATTGAAAATAAATAAAGGGGATTTCAATTTAATAGTCTAACTATAAAGAATATCTCTAGTATTTCTTATTCTTATAACATAAATTAATTAGTTGAAGAATATTATAGTTATTAATTCTATTTTTAATAAATGAACGATTGATTTTATTGAGTTTTTAACAGGAGTATTACTTCAACATTCCTTTTCATGTGTTATATAACAAAAGAGTACATTGTTTTTTCACATGCTAATGCCATCATTTTAATTTAATGAAGATTATGATAATGTTCTCTCTTTAATAGTCTAATCATTTATCCAAATAAGAATAAATTCTATTATATATGAAATAATTATAATTCAAAATGATGAATTGCATTTAACAAATTGTCATTTGCTATTTGACATTAATATAGAAAACAAATTCCTCTCTTAACCCCAAAACAAAATATTAAACTATGATGTTTAAAATGATATGAATCAATGTATTGAATGATTTTTTTAACATTTTTAAGTTATTCAATTATTAAGAAAAATAAAACCATAAATATACTTATCCATATTCACTAGGTTCTTCCATCATCTTTTCTATGACTTTTTATTTATGTAATAATTATTATGTTGTTTTTTCTCATATTATGTTTTCATTTAACTCTTTTGTATGTTATGTATATATATCCTATTTCTTCTTTCTCTATTTTCTTATTTTATTCTTAAATCTTTTTAATAAATACCTTCAATTTACTTGATACTATTAATATATAATTTATTTCTTCATTCTTTTGTTTTTATTATTATTTTCATTATTTCTTTTTTTAATGTTTCATTATTACCTATTCTAGTAAGGTGATGTGATTTTCATTTCTTTTCCATTTCATTTCTATATTTTTATCTTTTCTTCTTTGAAATATTGTTCTATTCCTTCTTGTTATTATTTCTTCTTCTTATCACACATTAATTATTTCATTTCTACTCCATTATATATTTCTTATTTTTCTTATTCTCTTTTGTTTCTTCATTTTATATTTTAATCATTTTCTTTCCTCCAACAACCTATCATTACCAACAACTTTTCTTTAATCCATCATTTTTCATAACTATAACTACTTCTTCATTTTATATGTTGCTATGTCTTTGTTTAAACATTTCTTCTTCTTTCTCTTCTTCTCCATTCTCCAATTTTTATTTTTTCTTTCCCACATTTATGTCTTTTGTTAGTCTTATACCTGTTGTTATTCAAAGTTACTTTAAAAGTGAAAAAAATTAAACAAATTATATTATTTAAGAATAATACCGTGTGTAGAATATAAACAAAAGACTATTAATGAAATATATAAAGAATTTATTCAAACATTTAACTTGACTAATTAAATATGTATATGTGATAAAAACAAAGAATTTCACACAATTATAAATCTTCAATCTTTAAATAACAAATAAAATAAATATTATATTATATTGATACAAATAAATATTACACATTTCATTAAAGTTAATGAAATTGCATTTTTGTAAGTTGTTGAAATAACAATTTTAAAGAAGTAATACTGAAATAGAATCAAATATATCCTGAATTAATTAATGAAAAGTAAAAGCCTTTTCCTTTTTTATGTTGAATAACACAACAAGAATTGGTAATTAAAATAATTAAAAAAAGATAAAGCCTCATTATCACAATGTTATGAAAAGACAAAGTCTATTTAAATAAGTTTATAAAAATAAAAAGCAGTAAATGAAAAAGAAAATAATACTTGAAAGAGTATATTTGATGAACGTTCTTTTGTATTGTGATTCAATCACTACAATCAAGACATTGTTAAGTGTAAATAAAAAATGTCAAGAAATAGTTCATTCAATTCGTATTAACCCATTTCGTATCTGTTTTAAAGAAATCTCACAATATAAACACATCTTCACAAACTTAGAAACAGTATATGAATTAAAAGACTGGAAAGAAATAGATGAATTTAAACATTCATGGAACAATAAAATCACATTCATAAGAACAATCCAATCGTGTGCAGTGTTTTACTCGTTTATTAAACCTTTTAACACAAATCAAATCGAGTTGTTATCAAAAATTGAAGAATATTCAATTACACGTTTAACATTACATTGTATAGATGAATTTATTTATTCAATTCCATTCTTCTTTCATTTAAAAAAGCTAAAAATTGGATATTCAACTTATTTTGATTTTAGTACATTGAACCAATTGAAGAATTTGAAAACAGTATATGTACTTTTTCAATTTGGATGTCCTGAAACAGTAATTTATGATTTTCATAACGTTGACCTTCAAAGAACAAAATACCATTTTATTATTTACTCTGTTTATGATGAAGATACTCTTCAATATCAAATTCATACCATTCGATATGAATATCCTTCTATTCAAATTCATGTAGCATTATTAACAAGAAAAGTTGAGCAATACTTTCACGACTTTGGTTCTTGTTGTATTGATCCAAATTACTTTAAAGAAGAAGAGCATGAAGTAATTAATAGTTTATTACCATGTGATATTAAAATCTTTTCAAAAAAAGTTCAAAACCTTGAACATATCAACCTTAAGCATTGTTATTATCTTCAGAATTTAAGCGTAACACTAAAAAATGAAAAGCCATTTGAATTACTTCTTCCCCAGTCATTAAAAGTGTTGAGCATAGAAGCACCACAAGCTAACTTTAACTTAAACAATATTCCTATTGAATGTTTAAATCTCACACGAACACAAAGTCACTGGCATTCTGTCTTAACCACATTAACATCTCTTTCTTTGTATCAATGCAAACACTTTGAAATTGACTTAGCTCATTCAAAACTATTAAAAAAAATTGGGGTTTGTTGTTGTTCTGAAATATCATTAACTGCTCCTATTACAACTCCTTTATGTGGTATTTATTTCTCAACAAAAATGAAACTTAACTTTACAAATAACCATAGACATACCCCTCTTCTCATTCATGATGTTGTTCACTTTTGGTGTTCTCAAACACAAAGGATGATTATTGAAATCAATACAGATATTCTTGACTTATCTTTGTTTAATCTTCAGTATATTTCTTTTTATGATTGTTCTATTCAATCTGTTCAACTTCCAACAAATCTTCATTTTGTTCGAGCTGTTAATTCCAAATTTAAATTTCTTGAATTTAGCAATATAATTAAATTGACAATCCAATCACATTCTGTTATTGAACAAATAAAAGGAAATTCTATATCAAAAATTCATTTGAGTGGAACAATCAATAATTGGAAGATTCAAAACATTGAAATAATATCATATCATGATGGAACATTATTTGAAGAAATTATATGTAAACGAGTGATAGTAAAAACCAAAAAACGTTATATTGACATTCATCATATCTATTCTCCCTCTGTTGTTTTTTCTGCCAAAAGTAAAACAAATATTGCTTGTCTTAATAACGAAGTTATTTATGTTATTAAAAACTCTCTCCCAGTAGTTATTTTGAATCTTCATAAATTTATTCCATCAAAACAATTCTACAATGAAGTTTTTTATCAAGTTTCAGATGTTATTCTTTCAGATATTGTTCAAACAACACTCAGAATTGTTGGGAAAAAGATCAAAACTATTGACCTTTCACGTTGTTTTATTTCAAAACTAATTATTCGAAGATGTAAGTTTATAGAAGGTATTTTATTACCATTTCAGTGTCAAGCAATTCATATAGAAAATTGTCCAAATATTCATAAAATAAGATATGTAAAACAAAACTAAAAACAACCAAATATTTTGAATCATTGTTTTATTTTTAAAATAAAAATCATTTAAAACTTATTAAAAGAAGCATTTAATTTACTTCAAATTGTCATGGATAAGAGTGAATAATGCATCGAGATTTCGTTTGTTATAATCAATGTTCAACCAGTCTTTGCAAATTTGACAAACAGGATTTATCTATTAAATCAGTATTTTTTTTTTGTTCTTTAAAATTTTGCATCATAACAAACAGTGTTTCTGTTGAACTGAATTTTAGATGTACAACGAGGCACTTTTTTGAATGTAATTTCTGGAACTTCTGCTGGGTATTGTTCAGAACATTTTACAGTAAATGATAATGAACTTCCATCTTTAAACAAAAACTCTCCATTCCAATTTGATAACGAAGTATCATCTTCATTTTGAAGAAAATATGATACAAATGTCAAATTTCCATGTTGTCCATTTTCACAATCTTCAAGCAAAACAGCAAATCTTGGCTTTTTCACTGACATTATTTTTCTTTTTTTCTAGTTTTGTTTTTAAGTTCTTTCAAATAACATAAAATAAATATTTATTTTATGTTATTCTTAAAATAGAATAAATTAAAAAACAAACGTCAAGAAGAATCTAGAAGAATTATAAATAGAAGCAATTCTATAGTTATAGAATCATAAAACTCAAACGAAAAGATAAATTATGACAATAAAAAGACACTAAAAACTATTTGTTTCATTAATTGAACCATGGAAAGTAATTACAATAGAATCAAACCTTATATTCCCACTTACAAAAGAATTGCTATGTATTGTAATGTTCCTAAAGAGTATATTGATGTTGCAATGAGAGGAGATGAATATGAAAAAGCAGCATTTGTTGAACAATTAATATTAATGAAGGAAGAAGGACTTGTTGGAACAACAGATGAATATTTAGATTCTCTGATTCTTTGAACCAATCACAACTCGAAAGCTTAAAGAACAAAATGTAATTAAAAACTATGTTAATAAATCCATTACATATTTTTATTTTTCCTATTGAATCATTTATAATAATAATAAACCATTCTATAAAGTTAATAGTATGATAAAACCAATGAAGAGAATAAATTTTGATTAAAATAACATTCAACGATTTTTTGAATCTTATGTTTTTAAGAAAAAATAAAACTTAAAAAAAATAAAAGATGAGTTGTGATGAATATGATATTGTTGAAGTTGATAACAGAAAATATAGAGTAAAAAAGAGTATTCAACCTCATCTCAGTGTTTCAAATGAACTTTCAGAGAAAACAAGTTATGATATGAAAGAGTATTGTGATGAACCTGATTGTATTTATGTTCCATCATTATCTTCAAAAGAACAAGTCGAAGAAATATTCAAAAAAGCAGAAATAACACCTCGAACAACTGATTGTACAATTAAATTATTAATTCCTAATAAACTTCATGGACAAATTATTGGAAAAGGAGGCATTAATATTTCACCAATTAAAGAAGAGTGTCAATGTAAAATTGCATTTGCAAGTTCAGATGATACACCTGACTTAGTGAGAATTGAAGGAGTTAATGAAGATAAAGTTAGAGAAGCTATGGAACGATTAAAAAATGTATGTATAAATGTTTTTTGTTCTCTTAAAAGTACACATACCATTCAAATTCCATTTAAGTCATCAGACCTTTTAAAACAAATAGAAATATTTCAAGAGTTTGTTTATTATTTTATTATTATTAAATAACACTTTAGAAAAAATAAAGGTATTTATAAAATAGACAATTGGTTAAAATTGATGGACTTAATCCAAATTACCTTCAAAAACCTCAAGCACTGCATTTAACATTAACTACATTATCTATTTGTACAGAACAACAAGTTGAAGTTGCATCTAAATTATTAGAAGATATGGCACCAAGAATATATTCAATACTAAATAATAAACCATTATTATTTGAATTATGTGGAATTAGTGCTATGGGAAATGAAGAAGCTACAAGAGTTATTTATATTAAAGTAAAAACAAATGATGAACAAATAAATAAAATTATTGAAGAAATTAAACAAACCTTTAATAAATATTTAGACAAACAAAATCAAAGTGAAGTTATTCTTCATATGACATTATTTAATACAAATAAATTAAAAAATGGAAAATCTTTTGTTATTGATGCATCTGATATAGTTAGAAAATATACAGGTAAATCATTTGGAAAATATAAAGCTGAATCGTTGGTATTCTCTTCAATGATTAATAAAATAATGGGAACTAAGTATGCTCTTATTAATTCTATTCCTCTTCCTTAATATTTATTTAATTCAGACGATTTTTGTCTTTTATTATTATCATCCATTTTTTATTCTAATTCTTTCTTTATCATATTCTTATTATTCTATAACACTTACACATCACTTTTAATTATTTCACTGTACTGAAAACAATGAAACAATGATATATCATACTGAAGAAGAAATAACCCTAAAACAAAAATAAAAAAAAAAAACTTAAAAAAAGTAATGAGTAAAGAAAGTACAACACCAAACGAAATCAATGAAAGAAAAATAGAAGAGAAACCTCATAAAGAAGAAAAGAAGATGAAAAAACAAAGATATAAAAAAGAAGAAATTCTTGGAAATCCATTAGAAGAATATTTTGAGAAAGTTTCTAAAAATGTTGCACCATATAATCCAATAGGAAGAGCAGAAGAAGAAATTGAAGAAGGATTTTCACAAAAAAGTATATTTTATATTAATAAATTATTTGCTGATGCAGCACAAGAAAGAAATTATGGAAAAGTTATTTATTTATATAAAAAATTAATTGAAAGTGGTATTAAAGAAGATCTTCATACAATTACTAATATTATTAATTCAGCTGCTAGAGTTGGTGATGGAATTTTAGTTGATAAAACATGGATAAGAATGAAACAATTAGGATTAAAAGCAAATGAAGTTACAAGAACCGTTTCAGTTAAAGGATATTTTGCAGCTGGATTAGTTGAGAAAGCAATGTACACATATTATTGTATGGATAATAGAAATAATATTAGAAGTATTAATGCAGCAATTAGAGGATTATTAAGACTAGGAAATTCAAAACAAATTCATACATTTACAAAACATCCTATTAACGCAGAAGATATGACTACAAAAGAATATCTTACTGCATTGTATTCAATAGAACAAGAAATTTCATTAGTTAGAAAGATTATGGAAAGTATTAATAATGAAGATGAAATGTCAGCTACTTCTTTAATTAATTTAGCTACATTAAATTGTCTTATTGGAGATGTAGAAACAGGAGATTTATTATTAAAAGAATTTGAAGACATTTCTAAAAGAGAAACAGATGCTAGAAAATCAATTCGTTTATTTAAGAAACATCAAGTCGCTCAATTAAGAAATAGAAGAAAACACATTAGAACATTTATATTAAATACTCAACCCATTTTAAAAGAACAAAGAAAGAAATATTCATTTAGTCAAGCAAAAGAAGTTTTTCAAATGTATCCTCGTGAAATTAATGTACTTCATTTTGAAGAAGTATTTAAAAATAAAAATCCAATTAATATTGAATTATGTAGTGGATATGGAGAATGGCTAATTACTAAAGCTGAAGAAAAAAAAGATGAAAATTGGGTTGGTGTTGAACTATATCGTGATCGTGTTTATAATTCTTGGGCTACTAAAGTCTTTGCTGGATTAGATAATGTTGCTTGTGTTTGGGGAGATGCAATGAATGTTTTAATGTTAAATATAATGGCAGACAGTATTGATAATATTTATTTAAATTTCCCAGAACCACCAAAATATGAAAATTCACCTACAAACTTGTTTACAATTCAATTCTTTTTCCAAGTTGCTCGTATACTCAAATTGGATGGAGTTTTTTGTTTATTAACTGATTCTCCTATTGTTGTTAATATTGTTAATAAACAATTTGCTCATAGTGAAATATTAAGAAATAAGTTCCAAATTCAAGGAAAAACTATGTTTGAAAAGAAACTCCCTGAAGGTTATGGTACTTCATATTTTGATCAATTATGGAAGAATGGTAAGATTAATCAAGACAGATTCTTTATGAAAATTAAAAAAATTATGTGATTGAATTAGATTCATTGATTGCTATTTAAATTATTCTGTTTTATATTATTATATTTCTTAATATATTCTTATCTAACCTCTTTCTTTATTTTACTAACAATTGTATTATTGTTCATTTGAAATAATTTGGTATTTTCATTTTTAAACATAATCATATAGGTTTTTTTTAAATACTTATTTACTGAAACATTACCAAGAATAATCATAACTAAACATGTTTTATTTGACTTGAGAAGATTTCATTGATAATTATTATCAACAACTATTATTTTTTTAAAATGACAGATAATATTTATTTCTATGAATTTATTTAATATTGTAATTTGTAATGATATTAATTTTTATTCTATAACTTATTCGACTACCATTCTATATGATACTATATTATTTTCATTTGTTCATAGCTTTTTAAATATAATTAAATGTACGTTATCAAACTCCTCACAGTTAATATTCATGAAGTTTCATTTCATAACTAACGTCTTTAATAACCTTTTTGATTATTAGATTTTCATAAGCATTACCATGAGAATTGAAAACACAGTGCTAATGATTTGAATTATTCCATTGGTTCATTACAAAACATTATTTTATATCTGATTCAATTGAAATAGTAAAATGATATGATATGGTATTAAGCAACTAACATAGTTAAATGAAATTCTTTTTGAATAAACAAATATATTTTAACTGAAATAACTTATTCATTTAAATCCTCATTTTTTGAATTAAATAATCAATAGATCTCTATATTATTAATTTAATTAATACAAATAATTTAATCATTATAATTGGAATAGAAGGGGGTTTACTTCTTTATGATTTTATGTCTCTGAATAAACAACACACTAACATTATAAACATAAATATTTTTTTAAGTCAAAGAAAAAATATTTAATGGGATTGTTTAAACATCAATTGTAAAAACGCAAAATCTTTCAATAGGTTTTTTAAAATAATTATATTAGTACTAATACATCATTCAGAAACAAAAGGATAAGTAATCAATTAATTTTTTTTTAAAATAACAAAAAAATTCACCAAACGAAAAAACAGAAATGACTATAATGACTTAATTTAATAGGAAAAACAACCTCAACAATGTTTATAGACAAATAATAAAATAATAAAAATATAAATAAAACCCCCACAAAACATTTCTAAAAAGAAAAGAAATTATTAAATAAAATAATACGGAAACCAAGAAAGTCATAAAAATACAAAATTTTCAAAAACAGTGAAAAGTCAATAAAAATAAACAGAAACAAAATACGTCGAATTATAAAACAATTCATAACTACCCCCTTCTTAAAGAATAGGGTAACTATAATTTATTGAACAAATGTTATAAATAAAGCTTAATTCAATAAACACAATAGTTGTTTGATCAAATCATTAAATTTAAGAATTGGCATTATCTTGAAACACATAACGTTAATCAAACTAACTCAAACTTTTTAACGTTTAACATGATCGCGTTAGCGCAGACATTTTATAAATTTATTTTATTTAATCATTTCATTTTGGTGGTGTCTTTGTATTATATGAATTATGTATTTATGTAATTTCAGTTTTATTCATCAACATTGTATTACTTTCCATTTTACATGATTTATATTACCAAAAATATTATCAAATTTTGTACTTAATTTGATGAATAGCACAAAACATGAATATTGAATAACTTTAAAACATACTATATTTATCAATAAAACTTCTTTTGATTTATATTAAATAATTTTCAGTTGTTGATGATTAATTGTACTGTAGACTTGCGTTGAACATCAAATTTAAAAGTCATTAAGATTTAATTTAAAACATCTTTATTTTATATTCAAAATATTTACAAAGTTTGTGTTAATCAAACTCCTTTTAAAAAATGAAAATTTTTATAACTTGTTGTATGAATAGGAGTATCTGCCAAATATCTGATTTTACGACAAATATAACTCTTTGTTTGAAATAATAAAAAAAATATTTCTGAAAAAATAGAAAAATACTCTGTCTAAAATTTGGGTTATTCTGAAAAGTTCATTATTAAATTACTTTTTTCATGTATAATACTACCCATTTCTCTTTTTTATTCATTATAAATAATAATATAGTTGTTCTTCAAAAGTTTTGTTTAAATAGCTTACATCTTGAAAACAACCTGTATAACAAAGTGTATTGCCTCTGTTTTATCAATTGGATATTTTTAATTTTCTATCGTTTTTTATTTATTGAATAAAACAAAATAAAGAATAACTAAAAATAATAATGTAACAATTGTCAATAAAACACTTATTCTAAAATTATGGTTGTTTCCTTATTTAAGATAATGAACCATTTCAAAATTTAATAAACTACTTTGAACCTTAAAAATAAAGAAATTCAAATAAGTTGAATCTAATAATTCATTGTTTAAATCAATATTTTTGTCGAGTATTATTTAGAAATTGAGAATGTGTTAATTGTTTAAAACTATCAACTAATGAATCTATCTTTTCTTTATAGATGTCCATTTGATAGAAATACACTTGGAACTTCATTTTATTTAAGATATTCATCATTTTTCGTTATTTGCTTGTCATTTTCTCAATCTTGTGTAACAGAGATTTGACTTATAATATTTAAAAAAGTTCTGAGAAAGTTAAAGAAAGAAATTAAAAAACACAAATTTAACTTTTAAGTGAAAGTGTTATATAAAAGAAATTAAAATTTTTATCAAAAGCATCTCAAAAGAACTATAAATAATAAATAACATGGCAAATAAAATTAAAATTGGATTATTGGGAGATATGGGAGTTGGTAAGACATGTATTGTTCAAAGGTTTTGTTTCCATAAATATAACGATTTATATGAATCAACCATTGGAATTGAGGTATTTAATCAAGAAGTGGTCGTTGATAATCAAAGTTATCCAATACAAATTTGGGACACTGCTGGACAAGAACGATTTAGATCTGTTTCACGTGTTTTCTTTAATGATATAAAAGGGATATTTATTGTGTTCAGTTTAGATAATATGGAGTCATTAAACCATTGTAAAGATTGGTTAGATGATTTCTATAGCCTTGTTGACCAAAGCAAAAATATTCCTGTTGTATTAGTTGGAAATAAATTAGACTTAATTACTGATGAAAATAATGTTCGTGTTCCTGAAGACATCATTAAGAAATTTGTTTCTAATAACGATATTCCATTGTACATTGAAACCTCATCCAAGAAAGATATTAATATTGATTCAGCCTTTCAAGAAATGGTATCTATTATTATCAAAAGAAACCTTCATATAAGTGAAAAAAAGAATGAGATTGTTGAAATAACACAAGAACAAGAAAATAGTCCAAGAAGTAATCAGCAAACAACCAATGACTGTTCTTGTTAAATTTTAATCTTTAATAAATCAATATTACAGTTATCGTTTTTTGTTTGTAATAAAGAAAATAAGAAAGAGAGTTAGTTAAGAAGAAAATAAAATGTTCTATTTTAATCTACATATTGTTCAAAATCATAAGATTAATAAAATTTATTATAATAAATTATAATTCATCAATAAGGCAAAAAAAAGGAAATGGTAGGCATGTGACTATCATATAGGCTAGTAAGAAGGAAACTATTGGGAATAGGCAAAGGAAGGACTGTTTGACTTGGTAAAAAAACTGATGAAATTAGAATTAGAAGAGAAATGGAAAATACCACACTTGTCTCTCTTTATAATGTCGAACAAAAAGATAATAATAATGAAAATGATCAAACGTCAATTAAAATAGATAGAAGTTCATCTTCTTCAAGTGAAGAAAGTTTTCAAGGTTTTAGTTTTAGTACAATACTTCTTCCACATCATTCAAATGAAAAAGAAGAAGGGTTTGTTGATATTGATGGATATATAACTCCATTTGAGAATGAAATAAATATTTTTAAACAAATACTGTATTGTGTATTTCCATGTTTAATACCACCATTTATTTCTAATAGAAGAATAGAAAAATATATAAGAGCAACAATGTCTATATCTTTTATTTTCACATTATTATTGATTGGAGTATTTATTGGAGAATTATGTGTATGTGGAGTTGCATCGTTCTCAATAAATCCAGGGATAGGTCCAAGTGCAGATAAAATAATAGATTTTGGAGCAAAATATTCATATAATATAACGTTTGTTATTATAGTTTTTAGAAGGATATATATCAAATTAATAAAATAAGAAGAAAAATTAATTTAAAATAGTCAAAATTATCAAATATATCGACTTTTTACATCATTATTTCTTAGTCCATCATTATTTGGGTTAATAGTTGAAATTATATTTGCACTAAGATTTTTCTTATATTTTGAGCATAGATGGGGAATAATATTATTCTTTGTTACGTATATTATTAGTGGAGAGGCAGGGGTGTTATTAAGTTGTGTATTAAGTTGTAATAATATTGCAGTATGTTCTATGGGACCATTTGCTGGATTAATATCAGTATTTCTTGTTGACTTAGCGTTAACAAACCAAAGTTATAAAGTACAATTTAAAAGAGCAGTTTTTACATCATTAATAGGTCTTTTAGTAATAGTATTTGCACAATTATTTCCATTACAAGATTTTACATGTTTATTAGGAAGTGTTATTGTTGGGTTAGTTCTTGGAGTGTTATATTTTGTTAATTTAAATCCATGGTTTTCTCAACAACCATTATTACTACAGACAATTGTTTATGTTTCATTGGTGACATTTCTTTTAACATATTTTATTGTTTTTTGTTTATTATTATTCATATGGATTCAACCTTTACAAATTACTATATCAGCTCAAACAAATTGATTTGTTTTTAAATGTACTTTTCACTAATTATTATTAATTCTTTACTTCTTTTCTTTTTTTTTTTTAAATAAAAAAACAAATTTAAAATTGTAAAAATATTTATTTCATTGATTTCTTTTGTAATGCTAATTGTTTTAAATATTGAGCTCTTTCAATACATTGTTCTTTGGTTTTACCTTCTACCATTTGAGCTATTTTATCCCATTTATCTTGTTCTTTATAACCATTTAATTGTTTAATACCATTTTGTAATTGAATTTGTTGTTCTTTGCTCCAATCAAGAACATTATTATTATTATTATTTTTCTTTTGTTGAATATTTGTATGCATTTTTGCATTTAAAGCTTTTGCATATTCAATAACTTGACTCTCATTCTTTGTTTTCATATATGTTGCAATTCTTCTATATCTTCCTTCTGTACCAACAGGAAATTTTTTACATCCTTTTTTAAATAATTCAATATCATTAGAATTCCATTCATCTAATACATTTCTATGAAGTTGATGTTCTCTTTCTTTTTCTTTCTTTTCAAGATATTGAATTGTTTTATGTCTCAAAAATTCTATTGCTGATTGCTCTTGTAATGATGATATAGTATTTAATTCATCATCTTCCATTTGTACAATTACATTTTTGATCCCACATTTAAAATGTTCATTTTCTTTCTCTAAATTAAATAAGTTTAATAATCGAATTTTTTTTTCTTTTCGTTCTTGTGTTAATAATTCATTTTTCTTTTGTTCTTCTATTTCTAAAATTCTTCGTTCTTCTTCAATCTTCAATCGTTCTTGTTCTTTTTGAAGTTCTATTAATTTTCTTTTTTCTTCTAACTCTTGTTTCTTTCTTTGTTTCTCTTCTTTTTCTCTCATCTTCTTTTTGATTATTCTAAAATCTCGTTTATATGCCATATCAACTAATTTTCGTATTCTCAACCCTTCTTCTTTTCGTTTCTTTTGTGATTTTTTTTCATTCTCTTTCATCATCCATCTTCTTTCCTCTCTACATGTTGCTTCTTCTATATTATACATCTCATCTAAAGGAGGATCTCTCCATGACTTAAATGAATACCAAAACGTATAAAATTTATTTACATCTTCATCAGATGACGTTTCATCACCAAAGTCAGGAACATTTTTATTAATGGACCATTTAGCATTCTTTTTAAAGTATGTCCCAAAAATAGTATAGAATTCATTTTCTTCATATTGTCTGTCTTGTGGTAGTTTGTCATCAGTATTATCTGAACTGTCATACTGTTTTCTTTTTTCTGGGTTTGATAAAATATTATATGCCTCAATAATTTGTTTAATTCTACTATCATCTCCATTATTTTTATCTGGATGATAAATTAAACACATTTTCTTATATGCTTTTTTAATATCATCATCACTAGCTTCCCATCTAACAGTTCCTAAACCAAGCATTCCATAATAGTCTCCTGTTTTAATACTTTGGACATGTGGTTTAAATTTGCTACTAAAATCTTTTTCTCCTTTTTTATTGTTACAATATCCTTCTTCTTGTTTAATTTCATCTTCTTCTCTGTTAAATTTTTTATTTTCATATGTACAACACATTTGATTGAGTAATTGTTCATACCTTTCCCCAGCATGTTCGCATTGTCTTTGTTGTTTTATTTCACACCCTTTTTTGTTATTGTTTTTATAAACATGTTACAACTTATGAACAAACAACTTAATGAACATAAAACAACATCTCCTTCATAGTCTTGTGGCACTTCCTTCAGTAATTTAATCATTGTATTTTTAATTATTTTTGTTTTTAAGGGTTTGAAAATAACATTTTTTTAATTTATTTTGATATTAAAAAACAAAACATATCACAAATTCATCCAACATATCAAAATATGTTTTTGTAGTTGACAAGTACGAAATAACACCAAAAAAATAAAGGGGTCATTCTAGATTACAGGTTTTGTTAAAAAATATAAAAAACTGCGAAAAGGTTGAAGGGATATATGTATTTTTAAATTTCAGTAAAAACAGTTTGGTTAGATGTAAAGTTAACATTTAGATAAATATCCAGTATAAAATAAAGAAAATAAGACACAACTCAAATTGGTAATGGGAGATTCGGTACAACTATCACTTCAAAAATATGTCGAATTGCGATTGGCAGAAAGAGAAAAAGAGTTGATTAGTCACACTGTTTCTGTTTTGGAAAAGCAAGTAGTGTCGCAACAAAAAGCTATCGAGCAACTCAGTTTACAAATCAAAAGGGTAACTGAAGAACGTGAAGAGCTAAAGATAAAAGTCATCCACTTAGAAAAAGAAATTGATATTTCAAATGAACGGCTTATTTTATTACAAAAATACTCTCAAAGAGGTCAAAAAGTTGACGAAGAGATTTTTGAAAATGGTTCAAATGAAATAAAACACAAACAAAAGCTACTAGTTGAGGAACTGATATCGAAGAAGAGAAATACGTCAACAAGTGTCGCAACAAGCAATGTAAGTACTAAAGAATCAATAAATCCTTTTTCGATAAAAGAAGTTCAATTAAACAAACCGTATTCAGGAAAACCTTCTTTTATCAAAACAGCTATTCTCAATGAATATATCAATCATATTTCACAAACTGATTTAAATACTCAATTTTATATATCAACAACAAGTGTTTGTAAAAAAGTCCCAAAATATTGTTTTCAGATTGAATATCGTTTACTTTGTGAAGTATTTACTGATTCAATAATTGGAAACTCTAACATTGTTTTGTTAAAAGGATATCCAAGTGTTGTTTCACATAAAATATTTGAGTTGTATTGTACAAAGTCAAATATGCTTGATCTATTAAAAATTATAAAAGACCCTCAACAAAGGTCACAAACGAGAGTGATTATTGGTTTATTTAATAAATGCGTTTTAGCGTTAGAAGAAATGAGGAAAAGAAGTGGATTTTGTCAAAATTACAGTATCATCAAAGATAGATATCCTCATGTCCAATTCGTTGCACTTGGGCGTTACGAATAACAAGAGTCGACAGCTTATTTAAATTGTCACTTTTTGATATGATTCAATCACGAAACTCTCTTTTTTAATAACATTTTTTATTTTTCCTTTGTGTTAGCAAAGTTAAAAAAATAATTAACTTAAGGTAGAAATCAATCAAATTCAATTAGTTTTTTTCTCACTTACTCATAGTCATCATAACCTCTACGTCTTTCATTCTTAAAACGACGACTATTATAACTAGAACTAAATTTATCAAATTGACCGTGTTGTTTGTAACTGTTATAACTTGAGAAATGATGGTATTGACCTTTATTATACCTTGGGAAATATGTATGATCTTGTTTAAAGCTACGTTGGTAAAATGGTTTTGAGTCATTATTAAAAGATGGTGTTTTTGAAAAGAATTTATTCTTTCTTTTTTGTTGATAGTCATCTTTAAGTTCTCTTTTACGTTCATCAATATAACTATCACCAGTGTTAACCCTCTTTTTATGTTGATAAGTACTACTTGGCTTTGTATTTGAAAATCCACGAACACTAATCTCAGGAAGAGTAATAGGGTCTCCATCTAAATATCGTGTTTTAAACACATGCCCTTCTTCAAATTGAGGATTAATAAATCCAGCAACAAAACATTGGTTTTGGTCCTCATCAAGTTCCATGTCATCCACTGGAATAATAAAACCAGTTAGTCCTTGTTGAAAATTTGTGATTGGTGTTAATAATTCTTTATAATCTGATAATGGGACTTTTTTATCTTTTTTGTTTAATTTATCGATAGTAGGTTTAATCAATCCCCAACTACTTGAACATGCAGCTTTAAACGTTTGTATAGTAGTGAAATATTTTGCATTATCTTTACCAATAAATATATAGGAATCACCATATCTTCTATTCCTTCTTTTTGCATCTCCTTTTAATTTCTTTTCTATTGGCTTAACATAATGTAATAACTTTTCTTGGTCAATGAAAGTTAATACAACAATAGCTTTGTAATCAACTTTTTCTCCATTAAAATCGAGTTTAAATGTATCTGGATAAAATTCACTAATTGGTGATCCTTTAGATTTCATTAAATCATGGAACTGTTGTGGTAAACAACTTTTAGATCTAGGTGGTAATACAGACATTAATTGTTCAAATGGTCTAAATGGAATACTCTTCTTATATTTAAACTCAAAATTATCATCAACATATTCTCCCATATCTTCTGCAAAAGGAGCATAGAGGTATGGATAATACCAATCCCATGACTGACACCCTTTATAGTAATATCCAAGAACCCAGTTCATTCCTTCAAAATAACTATGAACAATATCCCGAATTTTCTGAGTATCTTTTTTGGGGTCTATCTTAAATTTTACACTATAATATCTTTGAGTATATCCCACTTCTCCCATTTTCAATAAGTCTTTTGTTTCAGCTTTCTTAAGACGTTCTTTTAGTCTATTTTCTTTTTGTTCAATTAATTTTATTTCTGCCTCTTGGGTTTTGAGTTGTTCTTGCTGTTCTGGAGTGAGTTCATTCATACCTTCAGTACTTTTTAAAGTATTAATTTTGTAAATGGTTGCTTTTCTCATTTCTAATTGTTTCATTTGATTATCAAAATTTTTTTTAGCATTCATTTTTTCTTTTTGACATTTTTTTTCTAGGATTGCTGGTTCTTCCTTACCAACTTCTTGTAAAAAGTTCTTGGCGTTGGTAACATTAAGACTTCCACTCTCTGTGATATATCCTCCATGTGGTAAAAATTCTCGATAAACTTTCATTAAAAGATCAACTGCTCCGTCTCTAATATCTAACGATGGAATATGTGGTAAAAAGTCATTTCCAACTAAGAAACAGAAGAAAATAAAATCATCCACACATCTTTCAAATTCAAATCCCTCTACTTTTAATGTAATTTGAAGATATCCACGAAGAATATGACAATGAAGAAATTGGAATGGTTTTATAATAGTGTCCATAGCACCAACCTCTTTTCTACGTTGACATTTATCTGGGGGATGAACTCCATTACAAATATAACATCGATCATCTTCAAAAAATACTTTTTCTCTAACAATACTGAAGAACCGTTCATGGGTTGCAAGAGATAACATAATAAGATCAGCATCTAATCCATACATACAATGATGAATATTTGGGTTATAGTCTGGTGACTCTTTTTGTCTTCTAATAAAATCCATAATTTTATGCTCTCCTTCACCTGGTACACCAGAATCACTTAAAATAACAACAAGTTTATTCCAATAACTCGATTGACTCATTCTTTCTTTTATATATCTCTTCAATGTTTTAGAAACTACTGACATAAATTCTGTACCAGGAGTAATACAATTCGAATCTAATGGTTTTATATAAGGAACTTCAGGTAATCCATTCATTAATCTTTTTTTATTATCTTCTGCTTGTCTAAGTTCTGCATTTTCTGCGTCTTTTGCTGATTTGAATCTACGACTTCTTTGTTGATTCATTTTTGCTCTTGGTGCAACTCCATCAACAGCAAGATACAATAATTTTCTAGGTCTGACAATGTCAATAATGTAATCTAAATATCTGGTTAATAATACCATCATGTCTTCTATTGTTTCAGGTGATTGTCGGTCTTGTGGATGGAAACATGGATGAATTAATCCATTCATATCAATATAAAAATTATCATATTCAACTCCATTGGCATTTGGTTCATTTAGATCTCCATACTTCTCTTGGGAAGATGGTTGACAGTCAACAATAATCTTTGGAAATCTTTGCTTTAACCATCTAAAGAATGATGGAACTCCCATTGACCCTTTCAAGTTCAATTTTAGGTTTAAGTCTTTTTTTTCGTTTTATTTTGTGTTTTATATATCAAAGCTATTTTAATTGGAATGAAAGATATTATTTTTTTGTTACATTCATTTTTGTTTATTTTTTTTTTGAATAAAAAAATTAAACTATTACTTAATAAGAAAAACTATTAGTCAATAGATTTTGTTAATATTCATAAGAAAATAAAAAACTTTATTTCTTTAAGATATTCTTGTTTTGTTATTCTCTTATTCATGAAAATACTGAAGTTTTATAACATAACTATTGCATTTACATCAAATAAGCTGTGAACATGCCAAAATTTTACATGCTATTTTTAAGTGTAATAATTTGCAAAACAAAAGAATGTATAAAGTTAAGGGATAAGACTAAAATATTTTATCATTGAATAACCTTGTTTTTCTTCTAAGTTTTAAATGTTTTATTTTCAAGTTAATAATGGTTATTCAAGACTGTATGTTCATAACAAACACTTTTCAGTGCTACTACAGTTATAAAATGCTACTTGTTTGAGAAATAACAAAAGAACAAAACAAGATAAACAATGAAGAGATTTTAAATAAAAATTCAATCAATTCAATCGTATGTTTAGTTTTGGGTTGTCATTTCAAACCATTGTCTCAGTGCTTCAGCTAAAACATTCGGTAAAGTGTTTAAGTCATGAAGAATAATGTAGTGAGGGAATGGGAAAGTATCCATATAATGTTCTACATTAACTTGTCCATTTTCAAAGTTAACACTTTTCATTTCAAGAATTGATTCGTTTGAAGGATTGTCTAAGACAATGAAAACAACAAAAGTTTTCATTGAAGAGAAGTCTCTTAGTATTTTAGAAATACCTTTTTTGTCAGAGAATCGTCCATCTGAGAGGATAAAAATAATTTGTTTAACATCCAGTTCAATAGAAGGGTTATATCGTTGACAAACAAGTCCACTCTCATGTAAATAGACATACAAAGACTTCATTAATTTAACCATGTCAGTATTATTTTGGTTAAATTGGAATTCTTTAACAATTCTTGCTCCATCTTCTTCATTAAATGTTGTTCCAAACTTTTGAACACATTTTACATCTTCTCCGAATCTAACAACACTTAATTCACCTACTTCTAATTTAGTTAATGCACTAGACAATAAAGCAACTGTCTCTAATGCCATTTCACCAGCATTATTTATAATCATTGATTGAGAGTCATCTATTGCAACTAATATTTGATAGTCTCTTTTCTGTGCTCTTGTTCTTCTAAGCCAAATTTTATCCTTTTTAAATCCAGAAGCAATATATGGAATTACTTTCTTCATATTAATTTTCTTTCCAGTTCTATAGTCTCCTTTCATCTGACTTGCTAATGATGGTTCTAACACAATTCTTAATTTCT